GGTGTCTGCTATAGGCCACCAGACCAGAAGGTTGAGGTAGACGAGGCTTTCTTCAGACAGCTAACAGAAGTTTCCTGATCACAGGCCCTGGTTCTCATGGGGGACTTCAACCACCCTGACATCTGCTGGGAGGGCAATACAGCAGTGCACAGGCAACCCAGTAAGTTATTGGAGATGTTGGGAATGACTTCCAGGTGCCATCCAGGAGAGCTGGCTATACTGAGGCTGGAGAAATGAACCATCCCATACACAGGAAGAGTAGCAAGTATGGCAGAAGATCAGCTTGGCTTAGCAGGGAACTCTTCAGTGAGCTAAAACACAAAAAGGAAGCTTACAAGAAGTGGAAATTTGGACAAACAACTAAGAAAGACTATAACTGTGTTGCCTGTGCATGCAGGGATAAAATCAAGAAGGCCAAAGTGCAATTGGAGTTGCAGCTAGCAAGGGACATGAAGGGTAACAAGAAGTTTCTACAAGTATGTCAGCAACAAGAGGAAGGTCAGGGAAATTGTGGGTCCCTTGCCTCCCCCATTGAGTAACCCAGTGGCAAATGATGTGGAAAAAGCTGAACTGCTCAATGCATTTTTCACCTCAGTCTTCACAGGCAGTCAGATCCCAGACTACTACACCTGGCTGCACAGTCTGGGGAGGAGGCAAGCAGGCAACAGGGGTGAAAGAACAGGTTAGGGACTATTTAGAAAAGCTGGATGTATACAAGTCTGCGGGGCCAGCCGTGATACTGAGGTGGTTGGTTGAAGTGATTACAGAGTCCAGGAAGGGTAGTCATTTCTAAAGGAAGTGATCCTTTGGGTGCAGAGGGAAACTATCCCAGTACAAAGGAAAAGGGGAAAAGGAGCCAAAAAACTTCCTTAGCTAAACAGGGAAATCCAGGGGAGCCTAAGGGCAAAAAAGAAGGCATATAGGTGGTGGGAGCAGGGGGAAGCTATCAAGGAGGAGTATACCTACTTGACCTGCACTTGCAGGGAGGCAGTTAGAAAAGCCAAAGCAACTACAGAGCTGAGACTGGCAACACAAATTAAAAACAGGAAAAACTTGGGGGTTTTTTGGGGTTTTTTGTTTTTTAAAGGTATGTAGGGAGTAAAAGGAAGGCACAGGGCAGCATAGGACCCCTGCTAAACAAGAAGGAGCAATTAGTGAGAGACAGGGGGGACAAGGCTGAGCTCTTCAATGAGTTTTTTGCCTCTGTGTTCCTGAACAGGGCTCAAGATAAGTCTCCTAATAAGATCTTAGATGGGCATCAGAGGGACACCAGCCCACCAACTGTCTACACTGACTTGGTGCAGAATCACTTGGATGGACTGGATGTGTTCAAGTCAGCAGGCCTGGAGGAGCTGCATCCGAGAGTACTGAAGGAATTGGCCGGTGTCATAGCAGAACCACTGGCACGGCTGTTTTTGAGCACTCATGGCACTTAGGTCAGGTCCCAGAGGACTGGAAAAAGGCCAATGTGGTCCCTATTTTCAAGAAGGGGAGGAAGGAGGATCCGAGTA